ATGTAAATAAGGTATTTTTTCATATTAAAATGATATGAATAACTTGATTCTTACAAATATTAAATTAACCTGCACATATTAATATGATCTTTTGTAAATATTCTCGCACATATTCTCAAAATAGTTATATAAAAATCCCAACCTTTTTTTTATTTTTTTTTTATTTATTTTATTTTTTTTATTTTTTATTTTTTTTTTATTTCTCTTGTGGTTAGTAAAATTTTACGAAATTCTTAGCTAGTTCTCTTCGGGCAACTTGATCTCCCATCTCCATCGTCAACTATTGAGACTACAGCCCCACGTTTGTCCAGCAAGTTGTGCCAACTCAGCAGAAATATTTGCTCTGGCTTACTGACAAATAAGTACCTGCCATAAAGGCGGAAGATACTTAACCTGAGCCGTTCTTTATCCTCCATTTCCGGACAAAATGGCTAGTAAAGCTGCCCGGTGAATGTTGCCATGGTGAACTTGGTCGAATTTCCATTTAATTAGCGGCCACGTTTGTCAGGGAAAAATCAGGGCAGCAACACCATCGGAAAAAATGCAATGAAAGCAAAGCAAACCAAAGTCTATTAAGCAGGCAAAGCCAAAACGGCAACGTAGCACAGCTCCGATTTAATGCCAATAAACCGCGTGAGGCATTGGCATCGGCATCCGAGCCAGACAAACCGGGTTCCTGTAACCGAGTTAACCAGCCAGAACCCAGAACCCATCTGAAACCCCAGACCAAATGGGGGATTCCAAACAATGTTCAATCGGATGGCAAACGGGGGGGTTTCCGGGGCAAAAGGGTAGACAAAGGGCTGGAGGAAAAGAGTAATCTACCAACTGAATGTGCAACATGCCAATGCACATGATGTGTTTAATGGTTAAATTGTTGCTAATTCCATTAGCCGTTTGCTGACCTGCATTAAGCCCACTTCTACGTGTGGGTGCACAGGGGAAAATTTTCAAAGGATCTGTAGCTTAAGGTTAAAGTAAAGGATTTTAACTTAATCAGCAAATTTGTTATTTATTTTAAAAAAATCTTGAAATAAATGCATTCCTTGTATCGACTATCAGATACCCATTACGTATAAAGAAGTCCGAGGGAGATGGACATATGCAAGCAGTAAAGCCATACAGCAGCAGAGCGACACCTAGCGGCAAAAAATTGTATTGCTCATAGCTTATAAATGAATGATTTGATTTAAACAATTTTTGAATGGGTATGTAATAATGAACTTGGGCTAAATGTAGAAAAAAAATTGAATCTGTAACTTACAAAAACCATCCTGACTTTCCCTCAGTGTCTTGTTATGTGTGTTAGGATCTGTTTGTGGCGGTGTGGGTGTCCGTGTTGGTGTGTTTGTTGTTGTATTTGTGGCCAAAGTGTTGCAGTTGCCCCCAACTCCATGGAGGCAAACAGAAGACCAGGCCAGAACCGAAAGGCGACCCGCTGGCAAATGGAACGTGCACAAATTAATGTTACGTTGACGCAATGTTGGCAAGGCTCGAGTACCGTGACCCCCATCTACTGTCTCTTCCCCTTCTTATCCGGCCCACTCCACCACCCACTTAGCCACCCACTAAGCCAACCCACCAGCCTCAAATTTGGCACATTGTTTGCCAGGGTGTGCAGATTTGTCAAACGTGTTTTTGGGGGGCAACGGAGGCGGAGATGTTTGAGTACCGGAGCTGATTGGAAATGCCATAGATTTTGGGCCACTCACAAACGGCCAAGGGCAGCAGCACACCGTTCGGGGGATCCCCCAGCATTTACAGCCGGAAGAAATTAGCCTGGCTGAAATTTTCATTGATTCTAAAGAGGCCTGCATAAAGGTAACTACTATTTCTAAAGCTTTTCTGTCTCATTTTGACCTCCACCAATTTCAAATAAACCTACCTAAAATATTGTTGTCTATATTTATAATACCTCTAATAATAATATCTATTGATAGCCCCATCATTTGATAATTTATATTAACTATTTTTAACTCTTTATAGGTACTAAAAATATTTTATAAACCATAAACAATAAAAACTAATTTATCACAAAGCTAAATTAAAATGTACATAATTTATTTAATTTTATTTGTATTTTCATGTTTTAATTTAATCCCCAGAACTCTTTATAAATATAACTTTTTTTTAAAAAACATTTACAAATTTAAGAAAAACAAGAGAGAACGCTATAGTCGGGTGCCCCGACTATCAGATACCCGTTACTCAGCTAAAGGGAGTGCGAAAGAGATGGAGAAAAACTTTGATCCGCCGTAACTTTTTAACGAATGGTCCGATTTAAAAAATTTCTTCTACATTTCGATAGGTATTGATAAACACAATAAAACTGCATTTTTACTTTTCCAAAATATTGAAATTTTTAAAATCGTATATAAGCGATTGTGGGCGTTAGAGGGGGCGTGGCACCCTTTTGAAACAAACTTGCGCTGCGTAGGAACTCCTAGAATCTGCATGCAAAATGTCAATCTTCTAGCTTTTATAGTTTCCGAGATCTCAGCGTTCATACAGACAGACAGACAGACAGACAGACAGACAGACAGACAGACAGACAGACGGACAGACAGACGGACAGACGGACATGGCTAGATCGACTCGGCTAGTGATCCCGATCAATAATATATATAGTTTATAGGGTCGGAAACGCTTCCTTCTACCTGTTACATACTTTTGCACGAATCTAATATACCCTTTTACTCTACGAGTAACGGGTATAATTATTGCAAAGCTTCACTAATTAAAATAAAATGTGTACCTAATTTTAAAGAACTTAGCTTATTATAGGATTTCCATGATTTAATCCCATTCCCATTACTCTTATTTAAAAGTATTGCCCAAAACCCAACTCTTTTATAACTAAACCGTCCTTTTCACGGATTTAAAATTTCTGCATCAAGGATTTTTAGCACCTGAGCCCCCGAAATTAAAAGCTACCTGGCCAAATGATTTAACCCACAGAAAACCCTAAAACGTGGCAGCGCATTAAATTTGTTTAGTATGTGCACTAAAGTAAACGCGACAGGGCATCAAGCCGCACAAATGGTTATGGGCATGGGAATCTGGGTTGGTAAAGGGGGATCCTAACCCCCCCTTTTCGCTCCGCTCCGCCAGCTTCATTCAGTTAACGCGTCGCAGTGGCGTAGTTGGCACTTTTCTATTTATTTGCCCATTAACGCTCATTTGCGGTTATCAGGTAAATTGGATAAAAGCCAACGTAGCATGAAGCCTGTGCCTCTGCCTGTGTGCCTCTGCCTCCCACTGTGCAAAATCCTGTGGAAAGTCCCATTTTTCCCTCGCCACCTCCCGTTTTCAGCTCTCTGGCACTGCTTATCTTCGAGTGTTGTTGCAACATGAAATGAAGGCTTTGGCTTTGACTTTGCCTCCTGCCACACTGGGCACAAAAAATTGTAATGAGCTTATGGAATTCAGTTGAAAAAGTGATGGAATAAGCTGGTAGATTAATCCAATTAAAAAGGGAAACAGTTTGGCCAAATAAATGTGGGCATAGTTAAAGGCAAAAGTTTAAAATGAAGGGCCATAAATATTAAGATCATTACTTAAATGTATAAACTCAAGAAATTAGTTAATTTTTAGGTTAATTAGAGTTTTTAATTTAAAGTAAGCTTTAAACTCTATACTCCCATACTTTTCAATTTTTTATCCGTACTTTAAATTTAACATGCGGACGAGTAAACGGAGCTTTTTCAGCATTTTATTCAATCAAACATATAATTTCCCTAACCAATTTTAAATATTTATATTAAAACATAAAATAGAAGATATTACCCAAAATATTTCATTCCACTCCCACTTTTTTCCCAGTGTCGAAAGGAAATGAAAATATTCTTCCAAGTGCCCTCCGAATTTCTTGCCAAATCGTATTTCTTTCGTTTTCGCGTTAACTGCGCCAGTCATTAACTTTTTACGACTGTTTGATCCTGGTGTATCAAAAACCACACGCAAATACATTTATATCAAATTTTCAAATTGAATCCAAATATTTGCGGTGACAGAAAGCAAGCCGTAATTTTGGCAAGCAATCCGCAATTCGTTTGGCCTAATACATAAAACGTTTTGTTGCCGACTTATGGGGGCCAAATAAAATTTCATATTCCCTTTGTGGCAAATATTTTTCACCCTTCGACAGGCGGGGAAAAAGAGTCCAAATTTAAATGCGCCATATTGCAAGCTCAAATGAAATTTTGTGGCTTGTTGCAAAACAAAAAGCTGCAAAAAAAGGGGAGATGTACATAACACAGCAAGGAAAAAAGTGGTCTGCATCACAATTCTCATGCACACGCGGTTGCATTGTGGCTGGGGATCGGCGTTGTCCTTCGTCCTTCGACGCCGTCCACTGCATGCGGTCGCTCAATATGCAAGTGCATAGAGAAAAGGCTCAGCTATCCACTCAGAAAAAATATAATAAAAATTTAGAACAAAACCGAAAAAAACATACAAAATTATAAAAAAATTGTTTTATTTTTTTTTTTTGGGTTAATAATGAAATACTAGAATAAAAGAATAAAAATAATATTTTGCTAATATAAAATAACAAAAGATTATCAAGTAAAACTTGAAAAAAATTATTTTTTTGTTGAACTAAATTAGTTGTATGCTATAAAAAATATTACAGTTAGTATAAATATTGAATTCAGCACCAAGACCCCTGCTAAAATTAATAAAGAATCTTTAATAATATTCCAAATATTTATGATCTGTGGATTTTTTTTTCAGAATAAGCTCGAACTTAAGCTAAATAGGAGAAAAGCAGGGCGGGTAGAAAAGGGGGCGTGTCAGTTGGTCTGCGGTCGGTTTGCGCTAAATTAAATTTCGCCGCGGTTGCCCCCAAAAGTCCAACCCACTTGCACACACTCGTCTACAAATTACTATTGCGCCAAAAATATAAAAAGCCAAATACCCAACAGCAATCCTTATACAAAAGCAACATCTGCACGCTGCACTTATGCAATAAAGCCGAAAAATAAAAAAAGAGAAAAGAATTACGAAAAAAAAGCGTTCAGTTTTTATTTTTGCAATTTTGTATATTTCAGTTCGACGTCGCCATTGAGGAAGATTCCCAAGCCGGTGTCTGCGCCCATGGGCACCTTTTTCGTTTGCTCCACTAGGTAATTCGAAAGGATATGCACGATGGCTGTCTTAACGCTCAGTTGACCCACTCGCATTCCTAGGATAAGTGGGTTAAGAAAAAGGTGAAATTGTAAATATATATAGAGGATTTTTAAAATGTATATATTAGTTTGTACATTTAGTTGAGAAATAACACGTAATTATTAAAGAATAAAACCTAACAAATGTAATATTTATAAATGTAGCTAATGGTTTTTAAACTAAAAAATAAAAATTGAAAAACATTTTAAACATTTTAGTTTTAATTCAAATATACCAAAAAAATAGAAGAGCCTCCAGTACGTACTTCAAATTATAACATGTTCATAAGCTCTTAACCAAATTTTAGGACTCACCTAAACAAATACGAGGACCATCACCGAAGGGCAGGAAGCATCCACGTTTGTTAAGTTCACTCGCCGCTCCATTCTCGAACCGTTCCGGCTTAAACTCACTGGCCTCCGGATAGATGTCATCATCATGGTGGTATTGAAAGGCAGGGACCATTACTGTAGTGCCTGGTTCCAAACTCACAGTTTTCTCATCGCCCAAATTAAGCTGGATGGGCTTAGTGCAGATACGCATGAAGAAACCGATGGGAGTGGTCAGTCGAAGTGACTCTGAAAATATATTTTTAATTATTTTTTATTAATATAAATAATTTAAAATGTTTCTTTAGGTTTTTAGTTATTTTATAGTTAACAAAATATATTATTTTTCTGTATAGATCAGGGACCGAAAATAATTATTATTTTTATTTTTTTCAAACAAAAAAATCGGCCACTTATAATAGGCCTAAAAAAAAATGATTTTCACCCAAATAATTATCTTTGTCCAATCTATGCATTCCCGCCATGATTTTTAAATTTTTGATTTTTATCTTTTTGTTCAATGGTAATCTTTATTTTTGATCAAAAAAAATAGGACTCAAAAATAATTTTTATTGATGATTTTTATTTTTTTTGCTCAAAATAAAACTCAAAACAGCCTCGCGTGCTTCCTGTAAGACTTTTCGCCAATCTGATTTCACAGCCGTCTAAAGGCTTATCAAAGCAACCTCCACGATTTTTTGCAAATTTTTTTAACCACTTTGTAAAAATAACTTATCCTATGATTTTTATTTTATTCCGATCAAAATAAAACTCATAACAGCCTCGCGGTCCTCCTGTAAGACTTTTCGCCGATCTGATTTCACAGCCGTTCAAAAGGTTATTAAAACTACCCCCACGATTTTTTGCAAATTTTTTTAACCACTTTTAAAAAAATGGCCAGTTGATACAAAAAGGGGAATACAAAGCGTTTCTCCTCCCAATATTCCATTATGTCGCAGGTCAGGCTAATAGGTTTTTGCAAAAAATCGTGGAGGTAGTTTTAATAGCCTCTTAAACGGCTGTGAAATCAGATTGGAGAAAAGTCTTACAGGAGGCCCGCGAGGCTGTTTTGAGTTTTATTTTGAGCAAAAAAAATAAAAATCATCAATAAAAATTATTTTTGAGTCCTATTTTTTTTGATCAAAAATAATTATTATGCTCTAAGTAAAATATAAAAATTGAATTTTAATCATTACAAAGTAATTTTTATTATTTAACTTATAATGATTACGGTCCCTGGTATAGATCTATAGATCACTTACCATTCAAGCATTGATCCAGATAGGGCAGGGCATTGAGCTTTTCGTAGCTGATATTACCATCGGAGGCCAAGGCGTCTAGTATTTCCGATCGCAACTTTTCCTGCTCTTCGCGGTGCTCGCTCAGCTGATAAGATATAGTGGTTGTTATTTATGAAATGTTTCTGAAATATTGTGAAATTCCCTTACCGAATAGAGCATGTGGTAGAGAAGTGCTCCAGAAGTTTCGTATCCATCCAAATGAACGGTGAGGGCGTGACCCACTGTGTCGTGAATGGAGTTTCCCCGCTGTTGCAGTTGGATGAGATGCGATAGGTAGTCCGTGCGACCCTCAGCAGCTCCACCTTGCCGAAGTTTCACTGCATCCTGGGTTATTTGCAGGAAGAACGCCTCCGCGGCCTTGGTAAAGAATCGCATGCTGAACATTTTCCGCACAAAGGGAGCCACTAGGCTCTTGTTAAACCGAATCATCGAGCTGAAGGCATGGACGGTCCATTCCGTGGAGGTCTTCTGGAAGGCGCCGATCTCACCAATTTTGCCGCTTAGAGAACCCGCATCGATGCCCCATATAAAGTCCGCCATTGTGTCGGCCGTAAATCGATAGGATAGCTGGGGATATACAATTATTTTTACCAAATTAAACTTCCTGTTTAAATACTCACATCTCTGGTTTCGATGACATCGCCCTTCTCCCGTCGCGCCCTCTCTATGTAGTCAACCAACTTCCGACCACTCTGCTCCCAAATGGTAAAGGCCTGTTTCAGTCGAGTGGGCGTCAATCCGCCCGCATTCTCGGTGCGCCTTCGTTTCCACTCCTCGCCAGCACTGAAAAAGGGTGACTTCTCCACATACTTCTCATCCGGATTGTGACCCACAAAACTGCTGGTTATAGTGTCACGAAAATAACTAAACTTGTCCACCAAAATCTCATGGGCCAAAGCGGGATCCAAAATGAGAAGTTGCGGTTGTCGAGTGATGAAAGTTCCCACAGCTCTGTGTTTGCTCTTGTATTTACTAGAAAATTACATATATAATATAATAATCTAAAAATTAATACATATTTTCATAGACCCACTTGTAGACATCCTGAACATCGAGTATGAGACTGCGGCTCTTGTTGACTAGAATGCCCGGATAAGTTCCCAAAATGGTCAGTGGTTCGGCGGTGACTACGCCCCGCTTTTCCCAATATTTGTGGTACCAGGTGAGGTAAAAGTAAACCCCCACAAAGGCCACATGCACGAAGGTCAGACACAAACCCACTATGGTCAACATGGCCAGGCACCCAACGAATCGTTCCGATTCCCGCGAAGTTCACTTGAAAACTGCCTGTTGGTCTGTGCGGCCCAGTAAAGCGTTTAATCAGAATGGAAACATACTATATACGTAGACAAGACCTATCAAATTTTAATCAGTACTTAACAATCTGCTTTATAAGTCGTATTACGTAGGTGTTTGGCACACGATTTTGATACCATTATCGACAGCACTCTGTTGATAAGATTTTGTTGGCGAGGTAAGTTAAGTAAAGTCCAATCTATGCTATTAATTTGATTATTATTACTATTATTATTACAATCCAATTAGTCGATTTTATAAACCCATTTTTTTTAATAGTCAGCAAGATTTGTTTTTAAATTTTTGTTTACAAACAAAGCAATAAGAACTCATAATTTTTTTGATGGCATAATATATATAATTTTTTGCTGTTGATAATACAAATCTATCTCAAAAACCGCCGGTATTCCAGGTTAACATCTCCCTGCAGAACGACTCCAAATCCGGAATCTCCCTTGGGAGTCAATCGTTCCTTTCCGCGCACCACTTGAAAGTCGCTGAGAATGTGAACTATAGCTGATTTCAAGGTCAGTAAAGCCAATGGAATGCCTGCAAAAATTATAAACAAACAAAAAAAATGTATATAAATATATTTCATTGATTACCGTTTTTGAAGTCTTACCCATGCAAATACGCGGACCATCACTGAACGGAAGAAATATACCCTTCCTCATTAATTCCTGATATGCACCATTATCAAAACGTTCGGGTTTAAAGGCGTCGGGATCGGGGAAGTATTGTTTATCATGATGAAACTGATAGTTCGGAATCATGATCGTCATGCCATCTTCAACATCCAGACGTTTAAATTCATTTAGCTGAATAATGGTGGGAAATGTACAGACTTTTGTATACTGCGGTATCAAACTGCTGAGTCGAAGAGATTCTGAAATAAAATTTGGATATTAGATGATTAAATAAAATCTAATTTAAACCCACCGTAGACAACTTGCTCCAAATAGGGCAAAGAACTTAGCTTGTCAAAGTCAAGATTCTTTTCTGATTCCACACTGTTGAGGATTTCCTTTCGCAGCTTCTGCTGAACAGTCGGATTCTCAGCCAACTGAAAGAGATATATTATTAGATAGGTATTTTTGGTACTCTATAGGATCCACCCACATAGTATAGAGCATGGAGGAGAGCCGTTCCCGTGGTATCGTATCCATCTAGCATCACAGTCAACGCATGACCCACCAGATCATCGTGGCTGGCCTGTTTTTGGTCACGAAGCTGTAGCAAATGTGACAGATAATCCGTTCGCGGGGAATCACCACCGCCCTTCAGTCGCAACTCAATCGATTCCTTGGTTAGATTGGAGAAAAACTCATCGGTTTCCTTGGGATAGAAACGGAAACGCAGCAGCAGGCGACTGCAGGGTGCCACAATGGAGGCCATAAAAATAGATAGCATATAGAAGCAATAACTGGTCCACTTGCTGGCCATCTCTTGCACTTTATTGGGCTGCTCCAAGGGTCGTGTTAGGGTTCCAGCATCGATGCCCCAGATGAAATCAGCCATTACATGGGCCGTATAGCGAAAGCAGAGCTGAAATAATGATTTATAAAAGTTGGAATATTTTTAGTGGAATATATATAATTTATCATTTGGAGAGAAATCAGTTCTTAGCAAAAACCGACATTATAATACGGATATTTGGTAAAGGTATGAACATTATAGCTTTACTGGTTTGGGCACATAGAACAAAAATTGACAGAAAATCAGATTGAAATGTGCTGGTCAATTTAATATAAGATCAAGTTATTCATATCATTTTGTTGAGAATGAATATTCCGTTTACAATATTTGTTCCAAAGGTACTACATTTCGTATTTTAAAAAAGTATTTGTTTACTTTAATGAAATAATAAAATATCAAGTTGATATGTTTCAATCATAAATATGACATTAATAATATCGACTTTCTATTGATATGAAATAAGGTATTTATATGCTAATATTAATATCCAATTTTTTCTGTGCCTAAACCTCCAAATTTAAAGGAGTGTTTTGATATATATTATTTAATATTTTACTTACATCTCTGGTCTCTAGGATATTATTTTTCTCCGTCACCTGCTGGGTCATATAGTCTGTAAGCATTTTTCCACCCTGCTCCCAGATGTTATAGGCCTGTTTTAGGCGATTTCCCGTTAGTCCCGCCTGAGCATCTGAGGGAAGACTCCGCCAGGATCGTCCCGATGCCCAGAATGGATTACGCCGGGCGTACTTGTCCCATTTGGCATGCCTTATATACGAACTGGTCAGCGAGTCCTTGTAGCAGCGAAAATTGCCGACCAGCACTTCATGGGCCAATTCCGGATCGAGAACCAGAATTTGCGGCTGACGGGTTACAAAAACGCCCACAGCTCGATGTTTGCCCTTGTATTTGCTGTAAAGATTTCGGAAATATTTATTTATATACAATTTTTGTAGTATTTTTTCCAGACTCACTCGTAGATCTTCTGCACATCCTCGACCAAATTGCTCTTCCTGGTGAGCAAACCGGGATAAGTGCCCAGCAGGGTCAATGGACGGGCTGTGATCAGACCGCGCTTGCGCCAGTATTTGTGGTGCCAGGTGAGATACAAGTAGATGGGCAGCAGCAGCAGGTGCAGGAGGATCAGGACCAACGATACTAGGATGTACATATTTCCGCGCCTCTTGTTGCTGCAGGTTCCTCCGCCTCTCGACCAATACTGATCGAACGGAGGGAAGCCGAAGCTGCGACTCTCGGGGAGCATTACAATCCGGAATGGATGGACTGGCTATTGATAAGGAGAAGAGAGCCTAGTGTTTTGACACTGATAGTTACCTATGTATATTCTGTATTCTATTTTGTTTATATTTATAGCTGACTTATCTGCTAGACTACTGTATGTATATTTAAATTTACTTTCACATTATCAAGCGCACGAGCGGAACAGCTGATGATTTTCTGATTGAGAGTCTTTTGTCTTGTGTTCTTATCTTGTACTCTGCAAGAATCCAATTCTAATCTTTATTCTGGTGAAGATGTAAGGTTAACAGATTGCGAAAACACCAACAAGTTTTATATTTTTTTGTTTTTATTTATAATTATTTATTATTAACAAATAAAATTAGTATACCAGATCGGACCTCGAGTCCTGAAAAAGTGCTCAATAGTAAACATATGTCGATGAAATCACTTATAGATTGAATTTAGTTTGTTTATTTATATTAATGTGGATAATAATATTTATATACAAGATTGAATTATTATTTATCATTTTACATGTTATACTTGGAAACATCTTTTCGGATTTAAATTTTATTTATTAAATTTGTTGAGTCACATTACTAAATATCTACATCTGCCTGGCAAATAAAGTTATATCTGTTGGAGCAGGGCGTCAGCAACAGCCCCTCGTCGCGGTCGTAAAAAGTAAAAATTGATACGCAATTTTGGGCGTGCTCCACGTGGACGGGTTCACCTTTGCTCCATTTCAAGAAGGCAGCTTTGTCAGAAGCCAAGGACACAAAGTTTCCCTGCTCTTTTTGATCGTTGATGCCCACGTAGTAGAATGAGAATGGCGTGAGTCTGGCGAGGATGGCATCCGTCTCTTCTTCGTCCTTGAACGCGGCCAGATATCCGCCCATTTGGCGACAACTACTGGCAGCGGTGGTCCAATTTTGTGGGATACCCGAGTCGATATAGAAATACCTGGTCCCGATCAGCATAAAATTTGCCGGCGGGAATTCCTTCTTCAAGGGGTCCTGGGACTTTAGATCCTCAGATTGACTTTCGGTAGCTGCTTCCAGAGATCCATAGTGACTACCAGCCGTTAACACGAAGAACAGAACGACTGCGAACTTGGACATTTTTGATTTAACAAATATAAACGCGATTTAGTTGAGTTTTCAGCGGCAACTGCAATACTAGATTTCATTTGGTCTGTTCATATTGCTTATTGTGAACTTTTATTTTTATTAGACCCTAGATAACCTTAATTTTTGGGAGCTTGCTGTTTAGAAAGTATTTTTGCGTCACGTTTTATATCAATGATAGGAGCATCAATTCGTTTTAAATTCCTGACTATAAATAAATATAGGGGGCATAGAAAATGGGAAATAAAATAAAATATTTTAAAGCGTTTTTTACTGCTTTTATTTAAGTAATGGTGGGAAATATTAAAAAATATTTCACAATATTATCATAAAAGAAGATGATAGGAACAGCAATTTTATGATTATTACATTAAAATGTATCCCAAAACAATTTAAATGTTTTAATTATAATTTGATTTCTAATTTTATTTGTTGAAATATTAAACCGGTAACATGAATTCGGAACATCGATTGTAATTTGATTAAATTTCGTTATCTGCCTGGCAAATAAAGTGTTTTTTGTTGGAGCACGGCGTCAGCATTAGGCCTTCGTCTTGTTTTTCATAATTAAAGATTGCAACGCAGTTTTGGTCATGAAAAACGTAGTCGGGTTCATCCTCACTCCACTTCAGATAGGCGGGTTTACCAGAAGCCAGAGACACAAAGCTCCTCTTTTTTTCGTGATCGTTGATGCCCATGTAGTAGTAATCCCATGGAGTGAGTTTCGCAATGATGGCCTGAGCCTCCTCTTCGTCCTTAATTGCGGCCAGATATCCACCCATTTGGCGACAACTACTGGCAGCGGTGGTCCAATTTTGTTTGACATTTTGTTCGATGTAGAAATACCTCGACCCGATCAGCTCAAACCTTGGGGGTTCTACCTTCTTTGTGGGTAGTTTTTCCAGCAAGGTTGATAGGGTGTCCCATGGACTCTGCGTACCCAGAACCTCAGATTGACTTTCAGGATCTCCTGCCAGCGATCCACATTGACTTCCGGCCATCAACAGGACGAACAGAACGGCTGCATACTTTGACATTTTAGATTGAAGAATGGGAAACCCGAATTATATTAGTATGGAGCGACAACTGCAGTATTGGGTCCCACTCGGGCTGTTTATATACCTGTTTGCCACCATTTCTTTTTTTTTAATTGGCCCTAGATAACCTTAATATTTGGGAGCTTGCTGTTTAGAAAGCATACGCTTGCAAAAGGTATTGCAATAATAATATAAATCATCAGAAGCAAAATAGCACTGAACTTACTTAAGATGATAGGAACATCCAATCGTTTAAAATTTGCGATTACAAATAAATATAGGGGGCTTAATGTAACAGTAATTAAAATAATGTTTATTAATGATATAATGAGAAAATTTTTTTTTAATACCAATTTACTTTACTGTTTTATTTTTGAAAAAGTTTTCAAGTGAATGTACCCCTGGTATTTAAAAGTAGATTTTTGTTTTATATATTGTACAACATCTTTGTTTAATTTTTATTTTACCGAAGATGATAAGAACAACAATTGTATAAATTTTACTTTGTATAGAAAAAAATTTGTATAGAAATAAAAATGTTGATAACAATATTAAAAATCAAGATAGCTATTTTTGAAACCAATTTTAATGTTTTAATAAAAAGGTAAACCTGCTTTCTGATTTTATTTTATTTGTTAAAATAATTCATAACAGTTTTCTATATTTCGTTATCTGCCTGGCAAATAAAGGGTTCATTATTGGAGCACGTCACCAGCATCAAGCCTTCGTCGTCTTTGTCATAAGTAACGCAATTTTGGTCATGATAAACGTAGTCGGGTTCACCTTCTTTCCAATTCAAAAACGCTGGTTTGCCAGAAGCCAAAGACACAAAGCTTCTCTTTTTTTCGTGGTCATTGATGCCTAAAAAGTATTGACCCTGCGTAGTGAGTCTCTCACTTATGGCCTGTGCCTCCTCTTCGTCCTTTATCGCAGCTAGATATCCGCCCATTTGGCGACAAGTCATGGCAGCGGTGGTCCAATTTTGTTGGTTATTTTCTTCGATGTAGAAATACCTGGAACCGATCAGCTCGAACTTAGGCGGGGGAAATTTCTTCTTCATGGGTAGTTTATCTAGTAAAGTTGATAGGGAGTCCCAGGGATTCTGCGTACGTCCAACCTCAGTTGGAACTCCAGGAACTCTTGCGAGGGATCCATATTGAATACCAGCCATTAAGACGACGATTACAACGGCTGCGTACTTTGACATTTTAGATTTAACAATTGAAAGTCGTATTAGATCAGTTTGGGGCGACAACTGCAGTTGTAGAGCCCACTTGGCCTGTTTATATACCTGTCTGCGAACGCTTTTATGTATTTGGCCCTAGATAACCTTCATATTTGGGAGCTTGCTGTTTAGAAAGTATTTTTGCGTCACGTTTTTATACCATTGCAAAATGTATTATAATTATAATTATAATATTATAGCTGCTAAATGAAATGACGGTATTTAATCAGCAGAAGCAAAATAGCATTGACCTCTCTTAAGATGATAGCAACATCTAATCGTTATTCATTTCTAATAGAAATTTTTTAACTTTAAATAAATATAGGAGGCATAGAAAATACTAATAAAAATAAAATATTTTAAATCGTTTTTTACTTATTTTTATTTAAGTTAAGTTAATAGGTTTATATACCTGTTGCTGTTTAGAAAGTGATATATTATATTGTTGCAGCATAAGTAAACAACGCCTGTATAGTATATATTATATACTCAATAAAGAAACCTGTATTCTTATTTGTAACAAATATTTATAAATATATATAATCTGGCCTAATCCGTGTGGAGCAGGGGAACGATGAAGAACTGGACAAAGATCTCCTCCTGGCCCTCGCCCTGCATGACCAGATGCAGTTCCAGCAGGCCAACGGAGTTCGTTTTGATGGCCACCTTGGTGGCCGCTTGCATCGCCTTGTTGGTCATTCGGATCTGCTGACTTTTGTAGCGAGCGACCACCGTCTGCTTGCAGTTGAACATCATCATCATGGGACTCGTTTTGGCTACCTCCACGCTGAAAACGGCCTGCATGATGCCAACGGTGGTGATTTTGAAATGCGGCTTATCCGGCGATGTAACGAACTCGAATTCCTCCGCCGATTTCTCCAGTTCATGGAACACTTTCGATAGATTCGGTCCGCGTACGAAAATAACATTTATATCCGAGTCCTTCAAGCTCTTGTCGTAGTCAATTGGCTCCTCGCTGTCCATTGTTTTGATGGCGCACTCGGTGTTCACATCCTCGTCGTCGTAGGGATACAGAATGATCCTCAGAGGATCGCCCTCATCCCTGTACATCATCCTCAGACTGCAGTCGGCGGATCCAAAGAGATTTAGGCACTCGGAAAGGACATTCATCTTCAGGCCGAAGCTCTGGAAGTCCTGCACAACAAACTCCGTGAAGGCGCCCGGCGGCATGAAGAGCGTGGCCTGGGTGGACTTGCCCTGCTCCACGGTGATGCGCAGTCCATCCTCGGACACCTGCAGCATTCCATACTGGGGATTACATAAATTATAATTTAAATAAAAGAAAAGCTTATAAAAGTAGAGCTCACATCATTGAAGCAGATTGACTTTATGGCCTGGTTAAAGGTCTTGATGTGATCTAAGCGAGCTATAAACTTGTGATCGCCGTAGGGCGATTGTGTGGCATCAGCCATCCTAATCCTCTGCAGGGGGATCCTCTAATCCCTGAAGATGTCCCGCTGCAGCTCTCTGAGTTCCTCCTTTTTGAGCACCTGCTCGGAGGTCTTGCTGTCCGTGGGCCTAAGCAATTGATGGAGTCGCAATGCCAGGAGGTGCTGACAAATGAAGGACTCCCGGCTCTCCTCGCTCCAATCCTCCAGAATGCCCGCCTGGCCACTGGGAACGTCCGGGTAGAGGACTCCTCGGGGCAACTGCAGCACTTGGCACTGGAAGAACTCGCACTTGCAGTAGTTAACCCGCGGAATTAACCGGAAATACTCGGATCCCTTGGAAAGTTCGACCACCCAAATGTGTCGGTTGATTTTGCTGTAGAAAAAGGTGAAGCTATAGTCGTCCAAAAGTTGAAGGGATCGTAGTACCAGTTCTTCGCCCAGTAAATTGGATAAATCGGAGAACAACTGTCCACGTTGTTCTGGAATTTTAAATTATAGTTATTTACAATTGGAATTTTATAACTCGCTTAATTTTACCTTTTGTCAAGCTGTTGGATTCCGCTTGTTCTCGATATATTTCAAAGGTTTGATCGACCAATTGGGGTAAAAAGCTATTCGTAATGTTTTCCAAATCGAGCGCCATTCAGGACATCTTTAAATCAAGTTTTTTTTAAGGATAATACATTTTATTTATAAACAAGGCCGCCAAAAAGCCGGCTGAGCGTCATCAGCTGTTTATAGGATAACAGTCTGGCAACGCTGTTTTCTGGTCACCTTAAATCATTTGGGATATCGATTATTTTTTTTTTGGCGCCACTTTTGTATATCTAATATATTTAAATTCAAAGAAATTCAGAATATCAAAATATTCGAAATTGTTTGAGGAAACATTTTAGTGTAACATTTCTCCTGTAAGACTCGTTCCACCCCCTAAAACCCCCGAAAATACAAATAAAACCGTAGTCTTTCTTGGTTCGGATTGGTAAAATCATCTTCGAGATCTTCAAAAATATTCTACACGTAAGTTCAATGTAGTGTTAGGCGCTATATAACTATGGGCTATTTTTTATAAATCTGTGAGAGTTTAAGCGTTAATATGCGCTCGTTTTTTTTTTGGTGCTAGTCTAAGGTATTAATCATTAGGCTCTAATAATACTACTACTATTTCTATCTAGATAATGTTCTCCTTTTCGTGCTTTACGCCACTGCTGCGTCGCTTGACATTCTGGATCTTCATCATCTTGTTCTCATCGGCGCACTTGGTGGTGATGGCATTGCGCACCTCCTTTTCGCTGGCATTGCACTTGCGTGTGACCGCAAATATGATGTCCTGGATCTTCTGGGGATCCAACATGCGCTTGAGTGGCTTGTCCTGATCCTTAAAAGCGGGTGATGGCTTCCCCGTCATCGAATGCGTGGCCAAAGTTTCGCGATCGAAAATGGAAACGAGGAGTTTTCGGGTGGCCAGCGAGGAAACCGACCAGTTGACGTTCTCATAGACGCTGGCGGGCACACAGGTGTTATTCGGGCCAATGGACACCATCACGTTGTCCATGCTCTGCTTCTGATTCTTGCTGAGATCGGTGAGGCTACCATTGCGGATTTTCATTTGGGATTTCGCTGGCAATTTGATGTTCTGTCGCGGCGATTCCTCTGCCAACTGAATCTCCTGCAATTTGCGGCGCTTGATGAAGTGTAAAGGTGTCCCAGTGGTTTCCTCCTCCTCCCTTTTGATGCCACTGCTGATCCTGTACTGCTGATGTAGATTCTGCTGCTGCTGCTGATTCTCCTCGCCCAGGCAAATCTCCAGTCGATCCGAATCCGCCGAGGTACTGAGGCTATTAAGACTCTCCGCCGCCAATCGAATCTCAATGGCATCCGCATCATCCGGTGCCGAGATGATCTTGTAGTCCAGAATCTGGGTATTCTGAACAGGGGCACAAATCACCGAACTGGGCGGCGTGAGGATCTGGTGGCTTTGAACCGCAGGCGGGGTGGGTGGTTCAGCCAGCAAGGTGGCTGCCTGCTGCATCCTGGCGGATGTGGCATGTATTTGGGATAGCAAATCCGTGTGCTGCTGCAGTTTGGCCTCCAAATAGCGAACCTTATCCCGCAGCGCACGGTTCTCGGCCTCCACTTGGGGATCCGGCGCGGAGAGGCTGTGGAGCAGCTCGAAATCCTCGCTAGAAGTCTGCGACCAGGCATTTAAAAACAGTGGCCCACTGCTGCTCCGCTGGAACTGCGAATCCCCGCGAGAATTGGCGTTGACTATGCGCTGATATTGCTGGAAATTCAGGGGGTTTAAACTCATTGGATAGTCAAATTCCAGGAGCTACTCACGTTATCCATGTTGAATCCTCCAAGGATCTGCGTCAACTAAAAATTGGCGGCACAATGCGAAAAGCGGTTGCATTCCAGTTCCAGGGGTGGTTTTTTTGTTCGGTTTTCCACCGATTCCTTTTCCCTTCCAATTCCCCGGGAAGGGAAGCAAAAGCAAAACAATGGTTTCCAATCACACGCACGCTACCTGTACGCACACAGGGACAGCAGAAGTGCACGCATGTGCAGGGAAGAGAGCGTCTGTGTGATCGCTGTCTCTCTCGCTTTCCAGGTAGACACGATATCCTGTTCGCTTCCAGGTTCCTTGTTCCCTGTTGCAGGACGCTCTCTCCTGTTTATTTCCCAACTAGTCCAGCTGTCCCTCTTCTCATTCCCACTTTTGGCATGGGTTTTGCGCGGGAAGCAGAGTTGTTGTTGTTGTTGACATGACAGGGTTGTCGAGTGGCACGAACAATTGGCAATACTGCAACTATCGATTTGGGAGTCACGATGTTTTTAATAAAAAATCCTATTTTACTAATAATACTACAAATTATATGATAACTGAATAGCCAAACCTACATTTGTACTTTTTAAGCGATTGCTTATGAATGTTTATATATGTTTTGATTTGAATTTGACATTTTTAAACAATTTTAACGATAATTTTTTAAAACTTAGTTTCTTATTAATAAAATATTTTGTAAAACCGATTAAAAATGGCTTAATTCCATTGATATAGAGATTCTGGAGTACGGCGAAGGTCAGGTAATAATAGAATAGAACTAAATGTATTAGAACAATGTATAAGAATTCGTTCTTAAAATCCCAGAACCCAGAAAAACAATAGTTGGGTTTTGAAAGTAACCGGTTTTCAGGACCCAGACTGCATGTAATCCAATGGAATTGGAATCTCTCCTAATATAATTTTGATCCTTTTGGAATAGTGGTCCTCACTCACATGCTCTCTGATCGGAAACACACCCTTAAATTCCGAATTCGTATGGATACCTTATTGAAGGGTAAGTCTACTGGAATTCCGTCAGGTAGGTCGGCTATTGTGATGCATTTTGAATGTGCAGATAGATGGTACGTGCTTATTAATAACTTGATATATTTTTAAAGGATTTTCAAAAATATGGTAAATTAAATGCTAAAAAATTACTTATTATTTCAATATTTATTTATATTTCAAATTTTCATGTCAAACTATATATGTAACTAATGGGATGCACAACTTTTAATGATTTTAAAGTAAATAAGCTCCGAAACTCAACAAACATCAAAATATGTTAATGTTTCTAAAAAAAAAAGGTTTCAAAAACTTACAATCGACAAATTTTCAAGTTTTCATGTCAAACTATAAAAATAATGGGGTTCACAATTTTTAGATCCAAAACTAAAAAAAACCTCTAGAACAAATACCAAATAAATATGTTAATTAAAAAAAAAAAAAGAAAAATTTTAAAAACTTACAATCGACAAGTTCTTTGACTCAACTTTTACAATTCCTATGTAAATGATCTCGATTTGGTGACCTTGGCAGCCCTGCACCTTCAGGTAGGATTGCCATCTGGCGCAAGGAATAATAACAGTTAATCCGGGCCATAAAAACACGATTCCGAAACAGATTTACCCAGGGAAATATATGTAGATATTCGCAAAAGAAACCCCGTCACAGCTGCACTTTTTGGCCAGGACTTAACCTTTTTTCGCTACCTGTTGCCAAAATCCGCGAGACACAATGGCGGCCGGATTTCGTCCTTACGAACATCAGGACTCCCCCTCTAACCTTACAAATAGCGAGTCACCGGGAATTAGCATGTCAGTCGTCCGGAGAACGGAGCCGCCGCTGTACTTTCATCCGCAGACCTCTGTGATCCTGCCAACCGTTCAGTATTCCCATCCATATCACCATTATCTGAGTCAATTTGCACCGAACTTTGTGCCCTACTACTATCGCCTGCTCTCGCGTCCCATAATGAAGCAGGAGGAGATGGACATCGAGAACTACATCAACTACGAGGTGGCCTCCCAGCAGACCATGATGCGGCAGAGGTCCATGAAGCCGCTGGGGCAACTGCAGATCCAAATGCCGCCGCCCATAAGGGTTAAGCAACCAATTCCTGTAAAGCCCATCCCAGTTCGCCGCAGTTCCCCACCCAAACGTCGCGTGATCAATGCCCAACTGGTGGCCATAGCCACATCATCCGGTGGCATCAAGAACATAGAACCCAGGGTAGAACCCCTGCCCGCCGTGGAGGAATCCTTCAAGCAACAGGTGGCCAAAGTCCAGAAGAGTCAGCATCACTATGAACAGCTCTTCGGGCGCCTAACCACCATGCTAAAGACTCTGAATCAGCGATACGATAACGATGCCGAGGATGTGCCGGCTCCACCTTCGAAGAGACCCCGTCACATGTCCACCAGCTCCTCGGCATCGTCGCATCTCCAGGATACGGGCTCCGAAAAGGACGAGAAGGATGCCTCCGTTCAGTATCCACAGCGTGTGCAGAAGGAGGATGGCAATGCTGTGTACATACTCGGTCCAAATGGCACCCAAATCACAGCGAATCAATATGGAGAAGTCTTCTGGACCAATGCCCCGGTGGCCACGAGATGCCTCCTCTGTGTGGTCTTCAGCAGCGATGAGTTGGCCACTCACACGCTCACTGGGAAGCCCTCACCCGCTTTCTATGGTCGCGAAAGACCGCCGAAGCTTCAGCTCGATCAGCGCAAAGTGGATGATATTGTAGTCTGCGTTAGAAACCGAACGGGCGGCAAGGAGCGGGTGATCCGGGCCACCATAACTACGAAGTGCGCGGATACTGCGAAGAAATATAAGCGACGGGCCAAGAAGGCCCAGAAGGTGGCCATCAAGGAGGAATATTAGTGGCTAGATAAAATCCGGCTATGATTAAACCTTGAAACTTATCAACGACGCGCCAAAAAGGCGCAGAAATATCCGTAATATTGTAAATATTTCTTATAGTTCCTGATAAAAGTAGCTGTGTCACTTGTAAAATGATCTAGCTGTGATTCAATAAACAAAAAAAACCTAAGAACTTGTCATTTTGTAAATATAGTTCGGGTTGTATGGGTTGAAAACGTTTATCGAGTGCCAATTTAACGAATTTGGATTTATTAACACCTTTGAGTGCTTCCTTCAATCGCAGCCATTTGCACTTGAATTTTAAAAATATTTATTACTCTATTGCTTCTTCGCCTTGGGATCCCAGGCCTCCACTTTGTTGGGTGTTGTGGTGTAGGGGTAGTAGGCCTCTGTAAGAGGAGGGGTTTATAAATAAGGCTTTAAATAAGCTGTCATAGATGATTACCCTTGGTGCCGGAAAGGTTCTCGCTGTGGTCCGCGATCCACTTGTGCTTGGGACGGCAGCCATCACGAATGGGGGGCAGATCGGTCTATAAGAAAAGCCAAAAATTTATATAATATGAATTAAACTATTGATAGACCCAGAAACGGGTAATATAATGGTTTGAAATAGAGCCCTGCACAGGTAACCTGACTTGTTTGTCAAACCTTAAACCCAACCGACCTACTTGAAACCCATTTGACTTGGGTCGTTTGGGTTTGGGTAAGTGAGTCCTATTTACCCAAACCCAAACGACCCAAACCCAAACGACCCAAGTCAAATGGGTTTCAAGTAGAACAGTTCAGGTTTAAGGTTACCCAAAGAAAAAAAATTGATTTTTAAATAATGATCACAATTTTCACAGCTCATCGACCCGTCGCGAATTCTTAAGGTCAAGATGGTTATCTGTGTATAATATTTAAAATTAAAGGATACGATATATCGACATTTGTTTCCACATCCTCCGCCCATGCGAATTCTTTTGGTCTTCAAATTTTTCAGATGTATGATCCACAAAAACAAATTCTCTTGCTCTAAAGAATTCGCGGTTTTTGAAAAATCAATATAGAACATATTATTAGGTTTCTTAGTTAAGTTATGTATGATCCACACAAATAAATCCTCGTGTTCCTAAGAATTCGCGGTTTGTGAAGAATTAATAATTATAGAGCTAAGTATAAGCATTAGTGCCTTAGCTAAGAAGAACACGGTCCAACCAATCTGAAGATCCTCCTGTTCTTAAGAATTCGCGGGTTGGAAGAATTAATATAAAATCTATGGAAGTTCTTAAATCAATCGATTTTTTCAAAAACCGCGAATTCTTAAGATAAAGAGGATATATTTGTGTGGATTATACATAACTTAACTAAGAAACCTAATGGTATATTCTATATCGATTTTTCAAAAACCGCGAATTCTTAGGAACAAGAGGATTTATTTGTGTGGATCATATATGTATATTCCATATTTATTTTTCTAAAACCGCGAATTCTTTAGAGCAAAAGAATATGTTTCTGTGGATCACACATCTGTAATATTTGAAGATCAAAGAATTCGCATGGGCAAAAGAAGTGGAAACAAATCTTGACCTTTAGAATTCGCGACGGGTCGATGAGCTGTGAAAATTTTCATCATCGTCTTATTTAAAAATCAATTTTTTTTCTTTGGGTAACCTTAAACCCAACCGACCTACTTGAAACCCATTTGACTTGGGTCGTTTGGGTTTGGTGGGTAAAATGGGTAAAATTTTACCCAAACCCAAACGACCCGAAAATTTTGGGGTCGGGTTGGGTATGTAAATTTTTAAAAGAAAGCCTGACCTACTTGAACTGAAATTTCGTTTGGGTACCCAAATAACCCATTTTGTATACCCATGCAGGGCTCTAGTTTGAAACTATGTTTTCTATCGTACTTACAACTATATTGTTTAAAATCGTTCTTGAAAAGGTATGAAATATAAGGTATTTACTTAAAAACTATCAAAAAAACTTAAATCTGCTCTAAACAGATGGTATCTTAACCAAATAATATAAAATATCTTGTTTTTATGATATTAAAGTTTAGAATGGGTTCTAAAGTTTCTGAAATACTCCTTAAAAACTATTAAAGAAACTTAAAACTAATACTCCTTTAAAAGGTGAGAAATATATGGAAATTTACATAAAAACTATTAAAGAAACTTAAAACTTCTATAAACAGATGGTTTCCTAACCAAATGACATAAAATATCTTGTTTTTATGATAAAACTATATAGTTTAGAATGGGTTAACTGATATTCAGAAAATACGGATACTTTTTTCATAACAAATCCCCGATATTATTTAAGGATCCGTAAACAGAACCCACCTTATAGTGCATCCAGCCGTACCACTCGGCGGGAATCATGGATCCATCGTAATCCGTGTTCACATGGGGGGCAAACTCGATCCAGCGATTACGGCCGTAAAAGTAGTAGGCGTTCTCGAAGTACTTGTTGCCGTACTTGTCGATCCCCACCAGAGTTCCGATCTTCAGATCGTCGTTCCTGAAAAATTGTAAATAGGTTTCTGAGGATTGGAGCAATCTTATATAAGATCGAGACTCACCTATAGAGCTTCAGGTAGGTTTGCTTCAGTCCTCCGGATTCCCGGATGATCTGGAACAGCTTGGTCAGGCGGTTGAGGCCCAGGAACTTTGCCATGCTGTCGGGGAAACCTAATAAGTTATTAAACGTAAATAATTTCGATTTTCTTGGCTCACTTGAAACAAAAACAAAGTCGGTTTGCAGTGTGACTGCAGATGGATGAAATACCTAATAATACTAAATACTAAAGATACTTTTAATACTGCATTTAATACTAATATTTATTTATTTAAATTCGAAGGAATGGGGCAAAACCGACATCCAAAAATAAATAAATAAATAAATTACAATTCTTTTGTGTTTCATTTAAAATATAAAACTATTTTCAAATTACCAGTTTTTAAAAAAATGTAACAATTAAAAAATACCAGAACTTTTTTTTGCTATATTTCTAAAAGCATACGTTATAAGAAAAATTAATACAACGAATTAACATTTGTGGACTTCAATCAGCCTAGCTGAACCATCCCTTTTTGTTCAGTGAGTTCCACTTGGCAATGTTCACCAGAATGGAGGCCACACACTGATCCTTGTCCCGATTTTGTCCGTAGTAGTCGACAAACTCGCCATCGGGATTCACGAGGTACATGATGATGGTGTGATCTACGATATAATCGTTGTCCTCATCCCGCGGACCGGCACTGAAGTAAACCCTGAAGGCCTTGCAAACTTTGCGGATCTGTTCGACGGTTCCTGTGAGTCCGAGGAGTTTGGGCGAGAACTCCTTAACATATTTGGCCACCACCTCTTTGGAGTCACGTTCTGGGTCCACGGTGATGAAGATGGGCTGCACAGCCGGCGTTTGGGGGGACTTTTCTGTAGGGAATTAGAAAGAATTATAGGTAAAATCCAGAAGAAATGTGAATTTACTTACCCACTTCATCCACCACGGCGGCCATTTTCTCCAGCTCGTCGGGACAAATGTCCGGGCAGTGGGTGAATCCAAAGTAGATGAGCAGCCACTTGCCCAGGAAGTCCTCCGATTTGCGAACCGCTCCCTGGGAGTCCACCAATTCCCACTTGCCGCCGATGGCCGCCTTGCCCAGTTGCCGCTGGCGCTCCTTCAGCCTCGCCTCGTCCTTCTCGCTCTTCACGTACAGCATGAATCCCAGGCCACCGGCTCCCAGAGCTCCAATGACCGCCAGACTTCTCCAGGAGATCGGACCCTTGCCTTTGGTGGAATCTGCGGGAGCGGCAAAGTGACGGACGGTGGGTTGTTGGGCCCAACGACGGCAGCTGCTTGCCATCAAGCGTTGCAGGGAGCGGGACATCCTAGGTCCTGGTTTCGGGAATTTTCAAGTTTTACGTAAATCTTCTGGAGAAATAAATCTCGCCGGTGCCCCTGCTGCTTCTTCTTCTTACTCGTTTTGCCAATCACAGGAAGTGACCAAGCTTTTGGTATATTTTTGTATTTCCAACGCGCTGCATTTAAACAGTTTGGTATTTTTGGGTATAACCACAACGGTCCTATTTCTTCCAACACGTGCGGTTAATTTTTGTTAAATTATTTTTACTAAAGATTACTGGGGAAAATGGCAACCACAAAGCGCAAGCAGCCGCTGCTGTACATGGAGGAGTACCGGGTGAAACAGGATCCACAGGACTATGGACTGGCGGACGAGGTGTTTACCATAGAATCCTTCAAGGAAAAACTGCATATAACCATTGTGAGGTAAGTTGGAAAATAGAGATTTCTGGCAAGGATTAACCGGGTTTTATCTCCCAGAAACGACGAGGAGGGTTTGGAATTCGATCTGATTGGCGTCTATCCGGCCATTGCCAATGCCTTCCGCCGCCTGATGCTCAGCGATGTGCCCAGCATGGCCATCGAAAAGGTGTACATCTACAACAACACGTCGATCATCCAGGACGAGGTGCTGGCCCACCGGATGGGTCTGCTACCGCTGCGCGCCGATCCCCGGCTCTTCGCCTATCGCACCGAGGAGAGCGGCGAGGCGGGCACCGAGCAGGATACCCTGGAATTCGAGCTGAAGGTCAAGTGCTCGCGACGTCGCGATGCTGGCAAGGATCAGTCGAACTTCGATGATATCTACAAGAACCACAAGGTGTACTCGGGTCATCTGAAGTGGCTGCCAAAGGGAAAGCAGTCGCAGATCTACAGCGAGAGTGCAGTGAACTGTATTCACGATGATATATTGATTGCGCAGCTTCGACCGGGTCATGAGTTGGATCTCCGCCTGGTGGCGGTGAAGGGGTTGGGCCGAGATCACGCCAAGTTCTCGCCGGTGGCCACGGCCACGTATCGTTTGCTGCCGCAGATCAAGCTGAATCGCGAGATTTCCGGCAAGGATGCGTATCTCCTGCAGAGCTGCTTCTCTCCAGGAGTCATTGGAATCGATGAGAACGAAACGGCGTATGTAAAGGATGCGCGCTACGACACCTGCAGCCGGAATGTCTATCGCTATCCGCAGCTCAACGATGCCGTCACTTTGGCCCGCGTGCGAGATCACTACATCTTCTCCGTGGAATCGGTGGGCGCGTTAAAACCCGAGGTCATCTTCCTCGAAGCCGTCAAGGTGCTGAAGAAGAAGTGCCGGGCGTTCATAGACGAAATCGAGTCGGGTTAGTTATTTATTAAAAGATTATTCTATGTACATAAAACAACGTATAATTTGAGATATATAATATGTAAGAACTAAGCACTGCGTTTCAATTCGCGCTTGCGCTTGAGAATCTTCAGGCGGAACTCGGTGAGCACCACCTGCAGACGCTCCTGGCAGAGTAGAGCGTCCTCCAGATCCATGTTGTTCAGCTGCAGCGCCAAACTCTTGCCGAAAAGATCAAATTCACTAAGAATGGCATCATCTTCGGACATGGCATCGTCTTGAAATTCCGCGCTCTGTGGTTCGTCTGGCTTTATGTTCATCAGCTCCTCCTCCTCGTAGACCACTTCCTGCTCGTGGTGCTCATCTACCACATGCTGATCCTCCTCCACGATCTCCCCATCCACCACATACTCCTGCTCCTGCTCCTCGTGATACGGCTGATCGGTTCGCAGTAGATCATCGAGTATTGAGTCGTTTGAGTGAATTTCGTCATCGTCCTCCGCCTCCTCGTCGTCGTCATCCTCCATTTGCTCCGCCTTTGGCTCGTTCTTGATCTTTGTCTGCATTTTGTTGACCATCTTTTGCTTGGACTTGGGTTTCGGCTTCGGTTTGTTCAGGGGCTTGGGCTTTGGCTTGGTCAAAATAATAGAAGCCTCCAAATCCGGATCGTGCTCATCCTTGCAGAGCTCTCCTTTTACCATGTTCTGTAAGTTTAAAGGGAAATTGTTATTTTGGGTGTATATTTTGGAATACTATTCTCTAGATGATTTTAAAAAAGATACGTTATTTTGGAGAGGTTTTGATTGTAATGGATTTCTGAACAACCTTTATAGAGAAATTTTACCTGTATAATGTAATTAACGAACCAAAAAAAAGAAAATAAGTTAGATTTTTGAATATAACTAATTAATATTAGATATTTTTGGATATTGAACACGAAATACTAGATAGATTCTAGAACTGTTTTTTGGAAGACTATTCTTTGTTTGGTTTTAAATAGGATACCTTATTTTGGAGTGGTTTTTGGTTGGAATGGATTTTTGTACAACATTAAATTTTCACTAAATTTAACTATTATATTTAATTAAGAACCCTAAAAAGGAAAAATAAGTAGGATTTTTGAAAAGAACAAAATAATGTTAGATATTATTGGATATTGACCACGAAATACTAGATTAAATAGCTAGCCCTTCCTATTGCCCTTGGATAATCCCCACCTGGTACAGGATGCCGTGGCATTTGGAACTTTCCTGATGTTTCCTGGTCACCAGATGCTGCTTTATGGATGCCAGGCGGGCCAGGACATTGGTATCGCAGATCCTGCAGTGCGCCGAGTAGCCATCGTTGCTCGAACCAAGCCAGCTGGAGAAGGCCGGGAACTTTTCCCACTCGCTGCGATAGCGCTGGTGGTACAGTCGCTTCACTTTCTTGTCCTCCTCCTGCTTGTAGACCTTCATCATGGTGCTCTGCTCTCCAAACGGCAGCCGTTCGTCGGAAATTTAAGGAAAATACTTCTTTGAAAGGTGAGCGCCAAAAACAGTCTTTAATAACTGCTGGCTGTGGTAATTATTTTGGTATATTCCAAAAAAAAATTGCAAGCGAAGAAAAATCTAAAAGTCAAAGTAGTATGACTGTGTTTCGATACCAATTTGAATACCAATATTTGCAGCCAGGGCTGCAATGTGTATAGTTGCAATGGTCACATTAAAAGGTTGTTGAAGAGGGTTAACGGTTTTATTCAGCCTACAAAACTCATTTTATTTAAATGTTTCCTTGATTATACTTCTTTTTATTAAATATTTTACAATTCTTTTAAATTTTACGGGCAAAAAAATTATCTTAACAACGAAAGCATTTAATAAATTAAAATTTATGATACTCAAATGGTTTGAGTCTCAACTAATATTTATTCTAACCCAAATACGGTACTACTGAACTGCGATGACAAAATAAAGTAGCCGAGGAAAAACTTAAAAATTATTTAATTATAATATAACTCGAGACAACTTCGGCATGGTCATTCCAAAGGAGATCCTCAGCGACTACCGGGAGCTGTACGAGAAGGCCAACCGCCTGGTGGAGGAGGAGAGTCGCAGTGATCCGCCCACGGATCCATTTCGTTCCCACTACAAGGCTCGCGATGTTTTATCCGATTTAAAAACTCAACTGGACTCGCAATTGGTCTCCATCCTGGCCAGCGAGGATGATGGCGGCCAGGATGACCTCTGCTACCGCTCCCTGCTGGCCTTCGTCTGCCGGGATCTGGGCAGGATCTACATCTACACAGAGGAGCCTGCGGAGGGCGAGAAGCTAATCAATCGCTGCCTGGATTTAGTTACCCCTTTGAAGGATCGTCCCGAGGGCATTGTACCTTATATAGGTGCCATCAACGAGCTGAGCATTGTGCTGGCCTCCAAGGAGGAGTACCAGAAGGGCCTGGACATTCTCCTCCAGGCGGAGAAGAGCTATGAGGATTTTAAGGCCAGTGGTCGCCAGGCTTTGGCCATCAAAGATATATTCAATCCCCCGGAGGAGGGAGAGGAATCCGCTGCAGCGGGCCCGAAAGAACTGGAATCTCTGTATACCCTGGTTTCCTTCTACATGGCACAGATGTATGGTCATCTAGGGGAGCCGGAAAAGTCGGCGAAATGCTGCCATCGCACTTTGCACCGCCAGCTGGAATCTAAAACCTACGATGCCATTGATTTCGCTTTGAACACGGCCACTCTCTCGCAGTTTTATATCGGGGAAGAGCGCTTCCAGGAGGCAAGGCATCACTTAGCCGCCGCTACTCTAATTATGGCGGAGTACGAGGTGCACATGCTGGAGCCCGAGATGAGCGAGAAGCAGCGCCAGGACATCGCGGAGACCTTCAAGCATCGCTACGCGGATATCGCCCGCTGTTGGGCCAAGTACGGTTTGTACTTGATGCACACCTCTAAACTACGTTTGATGCGGGACGAAGATGACAGCGAGGAGGCCAAGAATGTGGAGAAAATCATGCGCAATCTTCGGCTGGCCGAGGCGCAGCAGTCGCGGTTTCCCGGCCTCGATCTCACCGCCTGCGAGAATCGCATTAGTTGCGAGTACTGCCTCACCTTCGACGATGCCAAGCTGGTCTTCCACTTCGTCAACGAGTGGCTGGATATTGCCAAGGATTATTACAAGGCCGAGAACGAGGCCACCGAGTACTCGAAGATCGTGCAGGATTACGCCGAGGCGTACGAGCACATTGCCTTTTTCGAGGAGAATCCCGAGAATCAGGCCAAGATGCAAAAGCGCAGGGCCAAGTTTCTAGAGGATCTACTCGATCTGCTCGACCCGATTTTCTACATGAAGATCTGCCGGGAGTGCTGGTATGGCGCGGGCACCGCCCATGCTGCTGTACTAGACGTGCGTCTGGATATCATCAGGGCCACGAGTACCCCTTCACCGGAGGAGATTAAGAAGGTCAACCAGAGCTGCATGAAGGCCATCAAGCATTTCGAGAGCTATGTTAAATCCTACTTAGCCAAACCGCAGAGCGAGGAGTGGCGCCCGAATATGGACGTGGAGGAGCAGCGTCACATGCTCTACGCCCACTTCCACATCGGTCGCATCTACTACAAGCTGATCAGCGCCCATCCGCTCCAGCAATTGGAGCATCTGGCTAATTGTCACTCTTACTACAAGAGATTCGATGCCGGTTGTCAGCTGCACAAGGAGGCCGCTGAGCCGCTGCAGGGAGAGATCGGTGTGGTCCGCGAAATGCTACAGCTGCTGCCCCTCAAGATGAACACGGTCAAGGCGAGATTGGGTTAGAGTAACCACATCCTGACATAACCATTCCCAAGAAAATAACAAAGAGTTGCATTTGCCGAAAGCTTTATAGTTAGTCTAAATAAATCGCTTACGTTACAAGGATATTTCGGGAATAATTTGTATTTTTGAAGACTTAAGTTGGTTTTTACCTTGGTTATACTGTGTTAAATAGCCGTGGTTATTTTAAATTATTTATAAATTTTAGAGACTGTGAATAACCGGTGTTTAAAGCTTTTATTTTTAAGTGCCTGCCTAGATTTTTTTATGTTCGAAAAAATTTAATTTGTTCTATTTGGTCACAAAGTATATACAAATCAGAGTATTTGAAAAAACTATGTTAAATAGCTGCAGTTGTTTTTAATTATGTATAAATTTTAGGCACCGTGAATACCAGTTATTTGAGGCTTTCATTTTATTTAATTTTTTTAAGTTCAACAAAATTGTTTTTTGTTCCTTTTGGTCACAAAGTATATACAAATCAGCGAGTTTGAAAGAAAAACTAAAACTTTATCATCTTTGTATAGCTCAACAAATAATATAAAAACTTTCTCCTGTCAAAGGTTTTTTTGAAATTTCTATCTAGCTATTTTATCTAGCTTGTTTTTTTAAGTCTCCTAGCCAAACTTGCAAAACAACGACAACCCTGCCCGCTGGCCATTCACATGCGAACAGCTGTTTTCCTCCAAAACAGAAAGAGGAAGAGCGCCGTGAGAAGTTGTTGGCCTGGCCAAAATCAGGGAAAATATAGTTTAATAGCCGAATCTAGACTGCCAGCGTAGTTTTTAGTTACTAACAAAGATATACCGATAAGTGGTTCCTCGAAAAATGGCGCACGCCACACCGCAGGTGCGTAAATAAACAGAGAATGCAGAGGAAACTGTTAGCGCGCCGCGTTTCTGTGACGCAATAGCTAAGTTAACTCTCGTAAAACCAATGGAATAACAAATATGTTTGATCCTTCTCCCTTAGGGCGTCAAGCTATTGAACGGATGGAAGCGTCCGGGTCGCTTTGACAAGGGTCTGGGCGCCCAGCTGCCCGAGGCGTACCGGAAGTTCTGGCGCGAATGGAAGCTAACGACCCCCGCTGCCGTTCATTACATCCCCAAGGAGCAGGAATGGGAACGCGACGAGGTGACGCACGCCATCAAGCCGGTGCAGAACATCCCACTGCCCCTGATCGACACCCCCGAATCGCATCAGGGCATCTGGGGCGGTGAGGCGGTGATCAAGGGCTTCCAGAAGCGCCAGCAGACAAAGCGTCGCGTTCCTCACTTTTGGGTGCCAAATCTGCGACGCTCCGTGGTCCACAGCCATGTGCTGGACTCGTACATGTCCGTCGTGGTGACGGAACGCACGCTGGAGCAGATCCACGAGTGCCATGGCTTCGATCACTATCTCTTGAAGAACCGTGCCTGCGATTTGCGCTCTGCTTTGGCTTTGAAACTCAAGCGTGAGGTGCTGCAGGCCCTGCAAAAGGGCGTTCCTTCGTTGGCTGCTGAGCCTGAGCGCCAGAAGGAGGTGCTAAGGGAGTACAGCCGCTATTTGGAACCCTATACACCGGAGGAAATCGATTGGTATGGACATACCTACCTGGAGGCCATACGCAAGCTGCAGAAGCAGCTGCGCGAGGCGGAAAAGGTGCTGCCGCATAAGCTTGAGTTCCGCAGCCAGTTGATTGAACAGCTGCGTCAGGCGGGGATCAGCGAGGCGGGAAAGCTGGAGAAAACCGAAGCACCAGCGGGTTCTTCGGGGGAGCACAAGGATTCCGACATCGAGGCGCTGACAAAGCTGTGAGTTCATAAAGGTTTAACTCCTTAAAAACATTTTCTAATCTTTAATATCTTACAGGGAATCCTCGCCCTCCTCCAGCTGGCTGTCCAAGATCAATCCTTTCGGCAAGAAAGAAACCTAGACCAGCCCCCATCCTCGCTTGTTTTTGATTTATGTGTTTAGCCTCGAGAGAATAAACATATTTTCGGAACTAGTTTAAACGTATTTATTGCAAATATTCGTTAGATTTGGTAGAGTGTATAAAAACAATCAGAATCACACACAGAACGTGAAAAGTAGAAAAGGAATGATTGCAAATCCCCAAGAGAATACAGAAATACATACAATACATAGAGTTTGTGCCGTATTAGCTCATAGTTTCAGGCTTCCTGGCCCTAGGCAATGGGGTTCTTCCTCATCAATTCGATGTCGGCCTTCATCATGTCGCTCACAAGCTCCACGAAGCTAACTTTGGGCGTCCAATTGAGCTCTCGATTGGCTTTGGAGGCGTCGCCCTGCAGCAGATCCACCTCGGTGGGCCGGAAATACTTGGGATTGATGCGAACGCGCACCACGCCGGTGCCTTTCTCCACGCCCACCTCGTCCACACCCTTGCCCTGCCACGTTATCTCGCGATCGATATGCTTGAACGCCGCCTCCACGAATTCCCGCACACTGTGCGTTTCCCCTGTGGCAATGACGTAGTCCGAGGGCGAGTCGCGCTGCAGCATCATCCACATGGCCTCCACATAATCGCTGGCATGTCCCCAGTCGCGTTTCGAGTCCAGATTGCCCAGCTCAAAGTACTCCATTTGCTTGTGATAGATCTTGGCCACGCTGCGTGTGATTTTGCGCGTCACAAAGTTCTCGCCACGTCGCGGACTCTCGTGGTTGAAGAGGATCCCATTGCAGGCGTACATGTTGTAGGCCTCCCGGTAGTTGATGACGATCCAGAAGCCGTACATCTTGGCGCAGGCTGAAGGGGGTTTAAAATTTAGTTTTGTAGTTAAAGGGTAGGGTTAACTAATAGAGCCCTGCGTGAATCATTCAATTTTTGTTTTATTATAGTATGCCATGAAATTTCTGATTTGTTTAATTTTCTAATTCATTTCGAATTGAATGAGTGAATGAATAATTTTTATGAATTTTCCAGATTTTTTTTGTGTTTTCTTTTGAGAACAAAAAGTGGAACATTTTTTACAAATCAATGTTAATTGCTTAGTGAATAAAATTAAGGCAGATTTAATCACAAAATTATGGCCCTTTCTTTTTCAAAAGAAATTTTCGTTTGAATTATTTCGGAATTCATGCCATGAATAATTTTTATGAATTTTTTAATTTGCCATATTTTTTTGTGCTTTCTTTTGAGAACAAAAAATGAAAATTATTAACAAATCAATGTTAATTGCTTAGAAAATAAAATTCAGGCAGATTTAATTACAAAAGTATGGCCCTTTCTTCTTCAAAAGAAATTGTCGTTTGAATTATTTCGGATTTCATGCCATTCATTCATTCAATTCTATTAAACTCAAAATTCAAATTAATTCATTCATATAAAACAAATAATTCAAAAGAATTAATTGAATCCATTCATGCAGGGCTCTATTAACTACTTACCATATGGCGACCTGGGATAGAAGGGCGTCTGTTCGTTTTGGGGCGTCTCCACGACTTTACCATAGAGCTCCGAAGTGGAGGCCTGGTAAAACTTGACGTTCTTCTCCATGCCGCAAGTGCGAATGGCGTCCAGGATGCGCAACGTGCCCACGGCATCCACCTCCGCGGTGTACTCACTCAGGTCGAAGGAGACCTTGACATGGGACTGGGCGGCCAGATTATAGATCTCCGTGGGCTTCACCATATTGATGATCTTCACCAGACTGCTGCTGTCCGTCATGTCGCCGTAGTGCAGCTTCATCCGGCCGCCCTTGTGCGCCTTGGGATCGGCATACAGGTGCTCGATGCGTGTGGTATTAAAGGTGCTGGCCCGTCGGATGATCCCATGCACCGCGTAGTCCTTTTTGAGCAGGAACTCTGCCAGGTAGGAGCCATCCTGTTGGGGGAGGTTACAAGTAATCAACTGGTGCTTTAGGAACACGTCACCGTGAGCTGGCAGGGATGCCCCTGAAAGCAGCGTGACTAATCCATCCATCAATTACACACCTGGCCGGTTATGCCTGTTATCAGTGCCACTTTATCACGGGAATCGCCTCCGGCACCGGTTCCATTTTGGTCCTTGCTGCCGTTGCTGCTGCTTTCGGGACGTGGCCTTTTGCTTTCCGGAGCCCCATCGGAGGACGACATGGTTGGGTGAGGTTTTTTTCAGCAAGTTCCAATCCTAGTTCGTATTTTCACGGCGCCGCTGTCCGGAGAGTAAACAAATTGTATCTGCGGCGCACAGGTAGAGCTAGAAGAATAATCGATTTGTCATCGATACATCGATGTGGCTATAAATATTTCGGACAGTGGGGCAAGTAATGTAAAAAAGTAATAAAATGTTAATAAAAACTAAATTATTTAAAATAAAAACAGTTTTACTAAAAATTATAATGTTAAATAAAAAAAGTACACGGACACTGAAATTATTCGAAATTATAACCAGGGGAGTCAAAAAAATCTCTTTGTCACAGTATCCGTTCCAAATTAAGTATAAGATTTAAAAGCAGGTTTTTCAGATATTTGTCCTACAAAACACCTACAAATCTCTAAAAATGTTGCCAAACTTACGGATATTTTGGTTTGTTTTGAACAAACAGCCCTTAAAACCGTCGTAGATTTTTGTGACTAATCAGAATATGAGTAATTTGCCAATAAAAAAAACCTATAAAAACTATTTAAAGAGTGCAAACTTTTCTAAAACAAACCAAAATTGATTTTCCAGTTTTTATATTTTTTAGCCTTCTCCACTTTCTCCCCGCTCTGTCCCACTGTGCGGCAGTGTTGCAAAGCGGGAAAACCCACGTAGCGATTTTTACCTTTCAGGCGAAAGTCGGACGAAAATAACGTTGGCACAACCACCTATCTTATCATTCCACCTCCACTCCCAAGACGATCCGATCCGATCCCATCCGATTTGCCACCGGGCAGCAATATCTTCTTCGGAATCCGAAACCGCAACCGCATTACGTGTGCGTAGGACGGTGGCTTTCCATTTCATTCTTGGATCGACCGGTGATAATACCGGTGCATAGAGGGCACTTTGCTAATTAAGTGATAGATAAACGAAATAAAAAGGCAGCACAAAAATGACGGATCTTATCAGGCAGGGAGCTCTGTTCCTCATGAGCGAGAAGTGCTACGATAACTACTTCCTGGAGCACAACTTCCTGGATGGTGAGTGGTAATTGAACCTTAAATCCTATCCATTAACTATCTAATAACTTTTCCAGTTCCTTGCTTCAAGGCCCTTTTAAGCAAGGGCCTGGGACTAGCCATCATTGCCGGTTCCGTGCTGGTCAAGGTGCCCCAGGTGCTGAAGATCCTCAACAGCAAGTCCGGCGAGGGCATCAACATAGTAGGCGTGGTCCTGGACCTCCTGGCCATCTCCTTCCACCTGTCCTACAACTTTATGCACGGTTATCCGTTCAGCGCCTGGGGCGACAGTACCTTCCTGGCCATCCAAACGGTGGCCATTGCCGTCCTGGTTCTGTTTTTCAACGGGCGAAAGGCCCAATCTGGATTGTTTCTCCTTGGCTATGTGCTGCTCATGTATGTCTTGAATTCAGGACTAACTCCCATGTCGGTCCTGTTCACCATCCAGAGCTGCAACATTCCCATCCTGCTGGTGGGCAAATTATCACAGGCGTACACCAATTATCAGGCCGGATCCACTGGCCAGTTGTCCGCCGCCACCGTGATTATGATGTTTGCTGGCTCGGTGGCCAGGATCTTCACCTCCATCCAGGAGACGGGCGACACCATGATCATCCTCACCTTCATTGCCTCCACCTTTGCCAATTCGGTCATCCTGGGCCAGTTGATCTACTACTGGAACAAACCAGCCGCCGGTGGAGTCAAGGATGGCAAGGCCAAGAAGCCCAAGAGCAAGAAGGTGGATTAAGGAAATAGTTAAACAGAGAGATTTGAACTCGAAACATAGGTTGCAACAACTTCTCGACATTGTAGAACAAATAGGCAAGGTTTAAATAAATTGAGTCCTAGTTTATTAGCTTGTCCTGCTTCTCAAAGTGCTCCTGCAGAAGAGCCAAAGCCCGATAGCGATGCGAAATGGTGTTCTTCTCGGATTTGGGCAACTCGGCGTAGGTCTTATCATAGCCCTTGGGCTGGAAAACCGGATCCCTGCGATAAAAGCAACGAATTTAATTAGAAATAGAGGTTTTATCAGGTTAGTTACGCAAGTGACTCACCATCCAAAGTCCCGGGGACCGCGAGGCTCGACGATAAGGCCCTCGGTGATGCCCTTGAAGATTAGGGGCTCTGCATCCGCACTCTCGCAATAGCCAAAGGTGCAGATGGCCTGGCCGGATTTGTCCTCCCAGCCGGTTAGCAAGCGATGCAATCCCTCCGGCTGCAGCTTCTCCAGGAACCACTTGATGTAGGGACCCGGGAGGCCTTCTAAGGCATTGAAGCACAGACTGGTGTCCTCCACCAGGACGGGTCCATTCACCTGACGCGCCGCCTCCTTGCACTTCTTGATGGCAATCTCATTGATGTCACCTGGTAATTGTACTTAGTATTTATCATTCAAGAAGAAGCGATTTACTTACCCTGCAATTCCGGCAGATCAATCTTTTTAGAGACAATTGTGCGCGGAAAACTGGGGCCCAAGATGGCAACCAATTCCTCCAGCTTCTTGGCGTTCCCAGTGACAAAGGTAATTGGTTTCGACATGATAAACACCACTTCCAATTGTCCTTCAATCTAAAAGAATTAGTGACAATTTTGTAAGTGATTTCGAGAGAGAAACGTGCGGGCAAACAGCTGTTTTCTGTTTAGCTTGGGCGCCAAATCAAAAACAGGGTGGTTATCACTCAAAAGTTTGCTTGAATTTGCACAAAAATAGGTTTACTTAAATTAATATTTATTATTATAATACATTAATAATCAATATAATTTAAGAGCCTTGACAGTAGCTAGTGGATTTTATTCAATATGTTTAAACTTAATTTAAAGACAGAATTTGTATTTATAAGAGCGCCAAATCAAAAACAGGGTGGTAATGACTCAAAAGTTTGCTTGAATTTGCAACAGACGCGGGCACAAAAATAGATTTACTTAAATTAATATTTATTGTTATTATAATACATTATTATTATTTATTATTATAATAATAAATATAATTTACGAGCCTAAACAGTAGCTAGTTGATTTTAATCTAAAGACAGAATTTGAATTCAAATGGGCGGCAAATCAAAAACAGGGTGGTTATCACTCAAAAGTTTGCTTGAATTTCTTACAGACGCGGGCACACAAATAGGTATACAAATTATTTAAGAGCCTTGACAGTAGCTAGTTGATTTTATTCAATATGTTTAAACTTAATTTAAAGACAGAATTTGTATTCATATGGAGTTTTCTTTTTGGGAGGACAATGGTTTTGGGTTTTTGGGATGACAAAACTTGTGAATAAATAAAACATACACATGAAAAACTTTTTCCAGCTGGACAAACGTTTAGTCGTCCAGTGTGAGATGCAGATTGGCCGACGGATGCAGACCGAGTTCCTTCAGGGAGCATTGATTGTGCTCCGCCTCGAGGGATTTGCGCGGGAAGGCGCAAATGAGCTTGTAGCCCTCCTGTGGGATGTGCTTGTGCGTTTGCCTGATGTACAGCCGCAGAGTCTGCAGCTTGGTGTCCGAGGGCCAGCGCAGCTGGACCATTTCATCTGAACCGGCGACATTCAGCAGGCGCAGCTTCAGCGCGGTCAACTCACTCTTGGCCTCGCCCAGGTGATTCTCATAGGAGGCGGCTGCCACGCCCTTGAGCTCCTCGTCATCGAACTCCTCCAGGCTCTCGTTATCGCTGGCTGCCTCGGTATTATCCTCGGATTTCTGCGTGCCTCCTCCGTTCTCGCTAATGGAATTTTTGATCGCCAACTCCAGCTGCTCCTCTTCGGTCAGCTCTAAAACCTTGGCCCTCTTCTTCGGTGTTCCCTTCGAACTGGCTGTGGATGAGCACGAGGCCTCCGGATCCGCCTCCTCCTCGTCATCATCGATGCAAGTGGCCGATCGCTTGGAGGTGCTGGGTGCATCCTCCTGGATAAAGTCGCGATGCTCCTTCAGGAACTGCCTCAAATCGGGCAGGATATTCTCCAGCTTTGGCTCCACACTGCGCCACACTTCCTCGCCTGTGCGCGGATCAATGACGCACAGGTAGGGCAGCGTGGCGCAGTGATAGAAGGCCACAAAGCGTCTGCCCTCCGAGGTGTCGTTGTCCACCTGCCAGAAGGTGAACTGCCGGCGTATCAGTTTCTTTAGCTCCTTGTCCGACCAGACGTCGCGATTTAGGGTCTGCGACTGGAAATTGTCGTCTTGCACGTTGATGAGCAGCCAGCGCTGCCGCTTGGTGGCAAATTCCCGGGCGGCAGTCAGGGATCCCGAGTAGAGTATGTCTGTGGGTGGCCGGAACAGGTCACCGAGGCGGGATGTGCTGGTTGCGGTGCTCGTGGAGGATCGACTATTCAGAGCCATGGCCTGGCCGGCCACCACCATCTGGGCGGCTCGTCCGCGTCGCAATCGATGGGCATTGGGATCGGCATAGACGCCGGTGGCTTGGAGCTGCTCCTCCATCAGAGCGCCCTCGCGGGCAAAGTCCCTCAGGGGATAGACTTTCACACGCTGCGAGACGCGCGATAAACGGCTGCTGCTGCCCGACGCAAAGAAGTTGTCGTCCTCGGGCAGGATCAGTTGCTCCCGCACCGGAGCTATGGGCGCCCGCACCTCCTCCTCGTCGTCCAGCAGGGGCAGCGATCCAGATGCAGCTGCTCCCGCCGCCGACGAGGATGTGGAGGCAGCCTGCTCGAAGAACAGAGCCACGGCAGCGGACACATCGTTTTCACAGGCTCCCAAATAATGTTTTGCCTCCTCCGCCGTGCAGGCGGTCACTTCCATGACCTGCTCCACCAGCGCGTCCGGCGCCTCCGTACTGGACATGGCTGTGCTCGGGCGGATTACTTCTCGGGGGAGGGCGCCTGGTTGAGATGCGAGGTCCGGAAAATGCGAGTGAACGGGAAAGCGAGAGCGATTTTCCAGGGACAGATAAATGCGTCCGCACAGCTGTGAGAAAATGCAGTGCTATCGATATCGATGTGGTCTAAGTTAACGATAACGATTTAACACAGGCACAGGTTAACTGTTTTTTATTTGAAATAAATAAATTAAGTAGGGCATTAAGTAGGGCAACCATTTGCTTAAAAAAGATTTTGTCAACAAACAAATAATTTGGAAAACTAAAAAAATCTTAGCTCACTTTGATGGAATAAAAAAAACTAAAGATATCTTCTGTTAAAAAAAAATATATATTTTAAATATTTGTATTGTAATTATATGATGAACATGTTCCAATTGTTTAATTGATTAACGTAATGAATTTAAACGAAATCCATTAAATTTAAAAAATTCAATTTGCGTTATGTCGCAAATGTGTCACCCTACCAAACAGAAAGCTGCCACTCCAGTTGACCAACACTACTCCCACTAGTGTTGTGAAACGGCAGTCCCTGGTCAGCAAAGCAGCAAAGAGGCAGAAAGACTTTGCGTCTCTTAAAATCCAGATAAGATTCGGAATCGAAAGGGTCCCCGAAAATATGACTAATCCGCGCCCCGTCTGATCGGAAATAGTCGAACCACCCACCCGCGAATATGTGAGCACCGTGAATTGGAGAAAATCGAAGCCAGCAGAGCAGCAGCAGCAATCAAAATCGAATGCAAATCAAGTGCAACAGAGAGAAAAATTGAAAGTGAATTTTCGGAAAAGCCAACAAAGAATATAAATATACCAATGATTTGCGAAGGAGTTATGTTGCGCGCACTAAGTTGAACTATTCAACCAGGTTGCCCTTTTCCCAGTTGTTGTTGATTATTTGTTCTCCCCCGTTTTTTGTTTATTGCTGCCCCGCGCGCTGCTGACGTCGCAAGATGGTGTCGCTGATAAAGAACCAACTGCTCAAGCACTTGTCCATGTAAGTCGAGTGTGACCTGTAGTGCATGCAAGTTCGTTTTGCACCCAGCAAATCGAATTACGAAACTTGATTAAAACAGCTTGCAAAGCGGAGAACTTGGAGACCGAATTGATTTTTCCCACTTTTCCGCATTCCTGATTCTGTGTGTGTGTGTGTACTGTTTGCAGCTTCCCACCCACCCCACAGTACCGTTATTCGTTATTCCACCTGTACACTGCCCGCTTTTATGCCTTCTTTATCGTTTATCGTTCGCCTGGCCCCATGCTAATTCGCCCAGCCACCCAGTCCACCCACTCCGCCCAGTGCCACCCCCTTTTTAAAGTAACAAGTGGATTGCGTTAGCCAATTCCCACCCACCCAAGCTACTTTACTTTTTTTCGCTCTTGTTTTTCTTGGCGCCGCATCGACGTCTCTGCGAAATCGAATTCCCATTCCCCCGAACTCATTTTCCAGCATTTGCATGCGAAATTCAATTTTCCGTCTTGTCCTCACCGCAATATGGTTTACTTTCGACGGTTATCCGATATAACCCTCGCAAAATAAAAGGTCTTTTAAAGCAAAATCCAATGTTTATTTGTTTACTTGCAATTATAAACATTACTCTCAGAAGAGGGGTTCCCCAAAATTTCTTAGGAAGGTTATTACTCATGCACCAAAAACAAAAATTTAAAACTTTTATAATTCATTCATTCACCCACTTTAAAAACTTCCATTAATAGTTACTCGCAGATTTCTTAATCAAGCTTTAAAAACTAATTGAGTTTTATTATTTCTAAATAATATATTTTTTTTAAATCCCAATCCATTTACTAAATTTTAATAATTTATTCATTTACCCACTTCAAACAATTCTATTTAATTGAGTTTTATTCTTTCTAATTAATATTTTTTGAGATCCCAATCCATTCACCCACTTCATTTATTTACTCACAGATTACTTAATCAAGCTTTAAAAAATAATTGAGTTTTATTTTTTTTAAAAAACATTTTTTTTAAAATACCAAACAATCAACTAATTGATATTATTTTCAATTAAACCGAAAGCTTTCAGAAGCACCAATCAATTAACTGGTTTTCATATAAATTATTCTGATGTTATCAAAACTTTTAGCAGGGTAATAAAAAATAAACAGATGACCCATAAATAGGCAATTTCCTAATCTTTTAGCTCTTAAAGGTACTTAAATTTCTGTGAAAGCAGCTTGATAAAAAAGGAAAACACTTAAAAATAATTATATATTTATCTATTTATGCTTTCTAAGTACAGAAAAGGTCAACTGGTTAACCTGTCTGCTATGCAGCTTATAAGCCCAGTTAATTAGCTCTCAAGTGCTGTTTCCCAGGGAAATAATAATGTTTTCATGCTCGATGTCGAGCATTTATTTTTATATCTACGCCCACGCATGAACTTTAATATGTCAAGTAGTCCTGCCACCTGCTTAAACAAAGGCATATTTACCCGTAACACATTGCCATTGTCTTGGCCCCTTTGTTGTGAATATATATCTTTTCACTTTCCCTTTCCCTTCTTGAGTTCTTGAATTCCCTTCCACGCAATTAGGCTGCAAACAAGCCAAGTTTATAACACAACAGGGCCAAAAATGTGTAAATGCAAAGCAAACTTGTTGCCCAAAGTTGTGAGGGAAATAAAGTTGGGGATAAAAAGGAAAAGCTTTTTATAACCCTCCATGTCTTGGAGTTCAAAAAGGTACAAAAGCTAACCTGATCGGAATTTTTATATTCGGTGGAGATTCCTTAATGCTTGGTATCCAAAAAGTTCTTAAGTAGCAAGTTGTGGAATTCCGCTTCCGTGGAATCCCCCCAATCAATGTCCACATTTCGATTTCAATTATGCCCGGCCATTAGCGGGAAATGGGTTAATTGGGTGGCAAGCATCTGGCGGCGACAGTTCACCCTTGGTATCGAACCCCTTCTTATGTAGTTTCAGCACCCCCATTACTTTCTATTCATCGGCAAACTCAATGCGACGTGTGCGACGAGGCTGATCTAATTGTTAAGACAGTTGTTGCTTCTCCCCTTGTAAACTTTATTATTTCCCTTTTATAATTATAGTTACTGCAAGAACCTCTCCTCGGACAAAATCAACCTGAGCACTTTTCGCGGCGAGGGAGAGCTCTCGAATCTGGAGTTGGACGAGCGGGTGCTCACCGAGCTGCTGGAGCTGCCCAGCTGGCTGCGCCTCACCTCCGCCTGGTGCAATCATGTCTCCTTCCGGATTAGCTGGACCAAGTTGAAGAGCGTGCCCATAACGCTGGTGAGTAATCCCGGGGATTAAGAGCAATGAACGGGCAGGAAGGGGAACGATAATGAGGATGTATTATATTTTAAAGACCATATCTGAGTTTACTTTAGATTAAATAATGTCTAAAGGACCTTATGAATTTTCAATATATGGTTTTTACTTCATTTATCTTTCGTTCCTTGATTTGTAAATGTGGTAAACGATTAAAAATGTATTTATCTTAACTTACTTTCATTTGTCTTATATTTTAAGTTTTCTATGGTGGAAAACGGTTAAAAGTTTATTTTAAAAAAATATGTATTTTAATAAGTCCTAAATAAGACTTTAAAATATAAAATCAGGAGGTTTTCAAACCAATGTTGTTGTTGCATACTTTTTGAATACCACATTTACTTTTATTACCACATATGTACTTTCAAATAATGTATAAAGTACCTTTTAAATGTTCAATATACGGTTTTTAATTCATTTATCTTCCATTCTAAAATATTAAAATGTGAAAAACGGTTAAAAATGTATTTATCTCAACTTACTTTCATTTATCTTCCATTTTAAGATTTTTAAATGTGGAAAACGTTAAAAATGTACTTTACAAAAATACATATTTTAAATGTAATCCTATATAAGTTTTAAAAATATAAAAAAATTTTGTTTTCAGACCGAATTTTTGGTTGCATACTTTTTGAATACCACATTTACTTTCACTTTCAACCCTAGTAAAAAGATTAAGTGTAAAGTTATTTATACATATTTTTAATTGTTAGAAAACTACCTAATCCACATTCCATAATCTCCTCCCACAGACCCTGGATGAAGTGCGCATCACCATCGAGACCTGCAATCCGACGAGTCGCGATGCCGGCGGAGGATCAGGAGCAGGATCTCCTACAGCTGCCGCGGCGGCTGCTCTGCCACAAGTGCCGCAGGGTAAATACAGCTTCATCCACAAGGTGGTCGATGGCATCACCATAGTGGTCAACACGGTGAACGTGAACTTTGTGAGCGCCGCCTTCACGGCCTCCGTTCAAATGTCGCGCATCCGTGTTGAATCGAAGACTCCCAAGTGGGCGAATGCCGATCTGCGACTGACGAGGCTGAAGGATGCCCAGAAGGGCATCATACTGATCTTCAAGGAGCTCTCCTGGCAGACGGTGCGCATCGAGGCCAGTTCCACGCAGGACAAGTCGCTGACCCCGCTGCGATTGCTCACCAATCACGCGAGGTGCCGGATTACGATAAGGAAACGGCTCGCCGACTGTTCGCTGCTCGCTTCCCGCCTGGTCCTCATTCTGGACGATCTGCTGTGGGTGCTTACGGACTCGCAGCTAAAGGCGGCTCTGCATTTTGTGGACTCTTTGTCGGGATTGATCAAGGCGGCCACGCATGCCACCCAGAAATCGAAGGCGGCTCGCAAAATGCAGGTAAATATTTGGTTTGTAGAATGATGATCTTGGATTACCCACTTAACCCACTTTCCAGACCCTGCCCGAGTACAAGGCCCAGGTGGAGCAGCAGCAGAATCGTCTCTCCGAATCCGCCCACACGACGAATGCGCAACGCATGTTCAACGCCTTCGATGTGCGGGAGACGTCGTATCATTTCTTTAGTCAGCGCATCGATCTGCATTTGTGCGACGACGAGGGAGACGGGCGCTCCAGCTATCCGGATTTGGACAAGGGCGGTGCCCTGCAGGTTTCGGTGACCGCCTTTCAGGTGGACTACTATCCCTATCACCTGGCCAAATCGGATCGCTCGCATTGGGCCAAGTACAAGGAGGCGTCGGTGGCACCTGCGTTGTGGCTCAAGGAATCGCTGAATGCCTTTCGCGAGGCCGTTCTGA